AAAAACCTCCTTCCCCATAAGCACCAAACACCCGCGCGATGCGCGGGCACTCCCCCTAGTAAATATTAATATGATAAAGATAAATAGTAAGTTAGAAAAGTATAATACATTTTGTCAGTTATTAAAAGTTGTGTTTCGCAATCAATTTTATTCATTTAAATTCAATATTAAACATTTTTGAACCATCACTTGCACCATACAATTACTTTGACAATTGCATAAAATCTTGATCCATAAAATGAAACACTTGGTAAGTTTTGGGACTCATTAGATGTTTTTCATGTAGAAGGTGTACTAACCCGCATACATACACTAATACAACTTAGTGGCATACATACATAAACTAATACACTAATATGTGGCAAATCAGTGAAATTCAAGGGTCAGACGGGACAACCAATCAGACCGCGACTCAAAAATATATCGAATGACATCAACATAATCTCACAAATATAAACATAAGAATGTTAATTAGTTAATGCGTACAAATTCATGTAAATGTATACAACCATTATCAATTTGTCAGTTCATTTTTTTTCCACACATATTATATAATTCAAAACGATAAAAAAAGTAACTCCAATTTGATATTGTTAAAACTTAATTCATGAGTTCGCTAGCTAGAACTAAATTATTGATGTATACTTAATAAATATAAAAATTAGGCCACAAATTGAAATAAGAAAATGTTTATGCAAGTATTTAAAAATATTTCAAACGATAAAGGGTCAAAAGAGAATACTAAGAAAGTTTTGGATGTAAATTTCGATCTTTTTTTTCCTCTTCTAAGACAACTTGTCTAGCTATTTCTTGTTGATGTTGTGTCAGTTGAAGAACACAAGCAATCTTCTGCGTCTATCCTACCCATTTTCATTAATTAACGTCTACTTTTTTTCCTTTATTTTACTAACACAACACAAGATGTATCTTACTCTTTAATATTTTCCTTTTAAATTCTTATTTGTTCCTTTCAAGCCGTTTTCTGTGTATCTCCCTCTCTCTCTAGATTCTCCTTCCTTTTTTTTTTAGATTCGAATTCAGATCTGGCAGTAGTGATTGTTTGAGACATGACATTGGGGTTAGACTTTGAAGAGCTTTAGGAAGAAGTTGAAAATAGAAAATTAAAAAAAAAGAGTCAGCAAAAAAGAATGAATAACTCAACTCTTATCGGTTGAACTGAATTTTTTTAATCAAACTTGACCAGATTTTGCCAAACGATTCTTGATTTGAGAGGTTCTAGTTTAAAAACATAGCTCAATGGTACGTCTCTTGCACTAATTCTCAACTCTACATGCCTCCATACTTAGATGTACAACGGTAGGGTCGTATCCGGCATGTGATGAAAATATGAGTAGCCTAGTTAACGGAAACATTATCATCACGTAATGAGGTGGCTCTCCTACGATGCCTACTTCCCACGCATCTGCTTGGGTAGATACTCGATAGACATCGAAAGGTGCAGTGTGAGAGGCAAATGGACCGATATTCTGATGGTCAAAGGGTCCAACTACAGTTCGAATTCCCTGATTCAAATATTGTAATGTCCTGAATACCTCTTCCCGTATCAAAGTAAGCCCGAGATGAGCACATGTGTGCTCCTTCACAAAAGTTATAATTTTTCACATATTGTGTGTGCATCTTAAGGTCGTTCTAAGCTGTCAATTACATGGTAGTGAAGCATTGTGGGATCGGCACCTAACATATCAAGTTGTTGGTTAACTTTTTCTTACTTTGTATTCCCTATTGTGTTTGATTGACCACAGTTTAATGGCTTGTTGCACATGTTTCTTTATTTCAAACACCATGTCCAATCTTAACTATTTTGTACGCTCATCCTACACATTTTATTTATCAACAGCAATGATGTGAGTGAGATTAAATTCTATTATATCATCAACACCATCTCTATCCTGCAAATACGGGGCCGTATAAAACTTACTTGATGAACTCGGACCCGACCCAACGTCAAGATTGAACTCTTGTTGGTCGCTCCATCCTGTTCCTCATCACTATCGTCGAAATTATCGCCATCAGGTTTTGGTTTAGTGTTAGAATCTACATCAGCTCCTTCGTTTTCTAGTATATTTGGTAGAGGGGAAGTTAGGGGAATTTGCGGTGAGCATAATTCATCCCTAGAAGCACTGTTAACTCTCCAATTACTTTTGCCCCACTCATACTTTCGACTTACATGATCCTTCCTTCGATTGGACTCATCATGTATGCAAACTCCGATTGTACTAACATGATAATACGATACGAGGTTGTTGATAGCATATGGTTTGACTCTACTTGGGGACCACCTTGAACAAATGAAACTTGTCCAACATTGACATTACTATGGTCTGGTTGGGGCGCTGGGCCGGGCCGGAGTGGGGATTAGTCGGGCCGCCTTTACGGACTTGACCCGGACACCCCACTCCGTCGACAAAAAAAAAAAAAAAAAAAAAAAAAAGACATTACTATGGTCATACCGGAACTATTGCTCCACCTCTATGTATATGTCACATCCCATGTGCAGTGATATTATTTTCATGTGGTACATCATATCCATGTTTTCTTCACACCCCAAGCGCAATTCAACAAAAATACCTGACCTACTGAATTCTTGGACCACATATTCAAATTGAACACAGTTCAATTTACACTCTATTCTTGGACCTCATGTAAATATACACTCTATTAACCAACTCGGCGTAACCTATTCTATCTTTCACTAATATTACTTTTTTGCACCTTAGAGGATCATATGAAAATGATCCTTCAGTCTCCACTATTTTGCCTTACCAATAAAACTAAATCACAAATATTTTCTTCACACCACAAACGTAGTCTAATAAAGGCACTTAGACTTACTGAATTCCTGAACTATAGATTCAAATTGAATACAGTTCGATCTAGGCCCATGTAAATATACATTCTATTAACCAACTCAGCGTAACCTATTCGATCTTTCACTAATATGATTTTTTTACACCTTGGAGGATCATATGAAAATGATTCTCTGGTCTCCACTCTTTTGCCTCTCCAATAAAACTGAATCACCAATGCAAGGTTTGTGGACATTTTTTGCCTAATTTTATAAATATTATTTATTGTAGATTCGAGCGCTTATGTGATTCCAAACATGGATTTACATTAACTATACTAAAATTAATTACATCGATAATAAAACAATCACGAACGAAATAATATGCAGTAGCAATAACTAATAGAATAACTAAACAAGCAAGAATTTGTCATTAAACATAAAATTAACGGCAACTTATGCTATTACTATGTAATAATTTAATGATTCCTATTTAGTATTAATGAAACACTTATTACTATTTTTTATTCACTATTACTAGTATTAATATTTCTAAATAATTACTACTACTTACTACTTTTTTATTAATGAAACCCTTGTTACTATTTTTTATTCACTATTACTAGTATTACTATTACTAAGTAATTACTAATATTTACTATGACTAGTATTACTATTACTATTTACTATTATTATTTATTATTATTATTATTATTAACTATTTACTATTATTATTTATTTATTATTATTATTATTATTATTATTATTATTATTAACTATTTACTATTTACTATTTACCATTTATCCTCTTCTACTATTAACTAATTATTTTTACTATTATTATTACCGTTATTTTTCTTTACTGTTAATATTCACTATTACTATTGTTGCTATTACTATTTACTTTTACTATTGCTATTACGATTTATTTTTACTGTTATTTTTGCTATTTACTTTTATTATTATTATTATTACTATTACTATTGACTTTTACTCTTTTTTTTACTATTTACTGTATAGTACTTGTACGTAAGCTGTATGATGGGTTGTCCTATATAGTACTTGTACTATTTACTTTTACTTTTTTTTTAACTAGTCTAAGTTTTGACAATTCTAAACACGAAGTTATTAAATATAATTATTAGTAACTATTTGTATTAAATAGCAACATTAAGACATAAAAACATGTAAATCCTAAACATGAACACTATTAATTAATAAACCATTCCTAATTTAACTAACTCAATTACTAATCAAATATAATAATTAACACTGATTAAATGTAATCAACTAATAAACAAACTAATACTAGTTAAATATAATTAAATGTAACACATAAGATTTGTCTTCGTACTTGTTGGTTCGTTAGAAATTCTAGCCGTCTACCAATTTCAAATCCCAACAACAGCTTTTTTCGACCAATACAGGAGCTTTTTGACAAAAAATCCCAGTAATGGAAGGAAGAAACTGGAGACACTCGGAGTGTAAGGGTACAACCGTACAAATGGGGTTGTGCCAGTGATATATTTATAACCGAAGCATGTTGCATCATTTAACCGAAGCAAGGCATTTTTTTTAAAAAAAAGTTTCATTCTTCTTTTAAATTGCTGTGTTAAAAAAAATCAAAAATAAATTAATTTTCTCTCCACACCGTAAATCTCATTTGTGGCGACCCTGCTAGAGCACAAATTTGTCCAAAACACCAAATTTGTCATGATTTCTTATTTTCGCAATATTGACAGAAATTTGCCCATTAAAAGTGTTACAATATTTATTTTCAAAAAATTATTCCAAATTCCAAATGACCTCCGATCCGAACACTCTTTTTTTTTTTTTTTTGTCGAAACGATAGATGTCCTATAATCTAATCTAGCCTAGTCTAAGGGGAAGGGGAGGAGGTTCGATGTGAGTACAGACTCCATCGATGAAAGTCAATTAAGACCACCACAAATTGTGACAAATTTGTGGGAGGCAGGGATTGAACCCCTGACCTCCAGCATCACCTTTAATGGTGATGACCACCGGACCAAATGGCCAGTGGCCCGATCCGAACACTCTTGACATTAGTGATTTTGCATAGAATTTGAGAAAGTGAAGACAACTAGACAAGACAATGGAAGGTCATCGCCAAAACTTTTTACTACTCATTTACTGCTGTAAAGCTTCAGGATCTCAAATTCAAATGGCAAACCAATACTTATTTAAAAAATCAACCCTTCTCTTCACTGTTCTCTCTGGAGTCTGGTGCCAGTCGTAGACTACAAGTAATAAGAAATTGAATTGGACTCTTGAGTTGTCGATCCAATTTTTCTGGGAATTGAAGGAGAAGTTGAAAAATGGCAACAAAACAAATGGAAGAGATACAGAAGAAACTATCAATGTTGAATTACCCAAGAGCAAATGCACCTGCTCAATCACTTCTCTTTGCCGGCATGGAACGCTATGCTCTCCTTGAATGGCTCTTCTTTAAGTAAAGTTCATCACTTTTTTTGAAAATTATTTTGGGGCAGGATTTAATTTCGTGTTTATGAGATTTTCTTATCTGGGTTTTTCTTTTTGCAGGCTATTAGGTGATAAATCTCCATTTTCTCAGCAGAACCTACAAGGAGATGCGATGGATCGTGATGAAGAAACTTCTCGAATTCAATGTTAGTGCTTCTCATCCTCAGACTTTGAACTTTAGCGAGAATCATGAATAATTTTGTCTTTTCGATTTTGATTTGATCAATTGAATTTATCAATGTACAAGGTCTAATTTTTAAAATACTCAAATGGGTAATGAGGAGTTTGAAGGTAAATTTTTTTTTTTCCTGATTATGGTTTAAGAGGTATAAGGACTTTCAGAATTTGCTATTTTATTTGCAGACTTGGCCGAGATTGCTAAGTTTCTGGGCATTACCACTACTGTAGATACTGAAGCAATCCAAGTGAGTTTGGTGTCTTTTTACCTGCCTGCTTTGATTCTGAAAAGGTTGTCCAAGGCTTATGTGGTGATAACAATTATGTGAAACGCACTCTTTTCATAATATAAAGTCTGGCGGTTTGTTTTTCTCTTGTTTTTGTTATTTAACATCAGTGGTTGTTTGACCAGATATTGGAAGCTTGTAGGTTTCATAGGTTTTTCAGTCTTGTTGACATTTATCTGTTATGTGAGAGAAGTCTTTCTATCATCTAGAGTTGCCTCTGCCATTTTTATGGTTTTGAGATGATTGTGGATTGGGTAGCAATCAATGGCTCTTGCAAGCTTATGTCTAACTTATGGGCTATAGTAGCTGAGATTAGGATCTCCATTCTCTTGGAATGAAGACTGCTAGCTGCTTCATTTGGTCTTTGAGAAACTACAAGTCCACAATGGCTGAGATGAAGAGCGTGTTATTCTGTTTTCATGATATTCTTCATGTTTACAGTATTTTCTACAGGATATGTAGGGTTCAGCTTTTAGCTGTAGAGAAAATGTTCATAGGGCTAGTTACTGGTTACTGACAGTTTAGATCACAAAATTGGGCCCTTCTAATGTTCTGTTGATTAGGTGAAAAATCAGCAAGGAGATGGCCATTTTTCTTTGCATTTCCTAGTTCTCTGTAGCAATTTGGAAGATTTATATGTACTCCGATTTGAACTTTCCTGATATGAGATCTTCTTTCGCAGGGAAGAGGTAGTTATGAAGACCGTACAGAAATGCTTCGTCTTATTGTAGATCTTGTTGAGGCTAGCATATATGCTGATAATCCCGAATGGAGGTTGAGATTTTCTTTGTGTTCTTTTGACTAACTTTAGCAATGAAATCTTGTTTTGCTGGGATATCATTTTGTTTTGATAAAATTCAAAATGTTGAGAAATTAATTGATGTATGACAACCTTGATTTTCTCTGTTCTGCTTTCCTCTTTATCCATTAGTAAAAACTGTTGCCCCTCCAGTGTTGATGAGCAGGTAGCAAGGGACATACAACTTATAGATGCCATTGCAGAAAGACAAGCACAGATTTTTTCTGAAGAATGCAAGTTGTTTCCTGCAGATGTACAGATTCAATCTATATATCCATTGTAAGCAAGTACTTTTTGCAGCTTTAACTTGATGTGACTTCCTTTTCATTGAGTTTGTGGTGAACATTCGTAGGTTTAAATATCTTGCAGCAATGCTTTTTATTTTAGTTGCTGTTTTTAGAACTTTGTATGAGCTTAGTTGTATGAGCATTGATTTCTGTGAACTTGGACATTCAATGTTTTGGTGCATCTATATTTTGTCGAAAAAATCATTGGTCATCTATAATGAGGATTCCTCAAACTGCTTGCATTGATGCTTTCTGTTTTGGGTGGATGTGGTTGGGTAGAAGGATTTCCTTCTCTCTTTGCTGATAAGTTTCATTGGTTTGCCTTTTATTTCTTTTGCCTCTTGTTTTGCTGCTCAATTGGTGATACTGGATCATTATGCTGTGTGGAGATGAGAACTTTAGCTCTAACAATGGAATGATTATTTGCATACTGCTGTTAACGAGTCGGCTTGGGTGCTTGGGGTATTCTTGTAGTTAAATATTTTCTGGGTGAAAGTTGGGTAGGGATTGCTTATATGAATGGTTAAACTTGCGAGGGAACACCAGCATTAAATCTAGTACCACTTCAGCATGTTTTAAGGACATCTATTGCTTTTCTTTTGGGATTCAGTCCGGTGACTGCAAGATCTATCTGTTCCCTCCCTATCAGTCCTTATTCTATATTTTGTTTTAGTAGTTCATATAAACAGCCGTGTTTGTGAAAATTTTTGTTCCATTACTAGTAAGTAAGCTCTCTAATCTGTTTGCAGCACACATATTATTGTTTTCTTTTAATTTTCTTCGCCAGATGTCGTAACTCTTTGTACTGTTAACCCAAGCACAATTGCAGGCCTGACATACCTGATCTGGAGAAACAGCTTTCCGATCAATCAAACAGGCTTCTGAGTCTTCAGGAGATGGTTGATGATTTAGCATCTAAGGTCATTCAACTTGCTAACCAGCTTTCTTTCATTAACTTCCTTGTCTTACCCTGGATGAATTTCTCCTGATTATGCTTCAAAAGATTTGGATCTTTTTACAGTGTCATGCTCAGTTGGAAATGATTTTCTCTTTTTATTTTCATGTGCAGCACTCATACAATCCGGATGAGGACTATGCGGAAGTAGAAGCAAAATTACGGGCATATTTGGAGTCTTTTCTAGAAACTGCAAGATCCTTTAATTCCATTTACACCAAGGTTGTGTCTCTTTCTCACATTATTCTGCTTTCTTAGGTTACTGAGATTTTGCAATTATCATATGGACCTCTTTTAAACAGCTTAAGTAGCTAGTACTTGCTAGTTGGTTGCTAAGGTTCTCCTTGTTTAACTTCTGCTTTGTCTTAAGTTAGAACTTTCCATGTTTATTGGGTGCATATTCACTTTCTGCACATCTTTGATTTTGAGTGGCCTCGGGGTAAAAAGCAAAGTGTTGCCCGTGCTAGCTTTAGCAAAGATCTAGTTGACTTCTGGAACAGTTTGGGTTTTTACAGCATGCTATACTTTGGTACGATTACCTTGGATGGCTTGGAATAGGATTTGCACAACAGCTGTTCCTTCTTTCTTCGTCTTCTTTCTTTTCTTAATTTCATGCATCTGCTTTACAAATTTGTTTATTGGTTTTTCATTCTGAATATTGTTTTATTTGTAGGAAATTCGTCCTTGGACACACATGATGGAGGTTCCACAATTGCATGGATTTGGTCCAGCAGCCAATAGGCTGTTGGAAGCATATAAAATGCTTTTGAAGGTATCTCACATTAAAGTTTGCTATTTTTATCAAGAAATTGTTTGGACATAACTGTTTGAAATGGTGATTAACCTGATTTTTTCCAATTGAAGTTTTTTAAGCATGATCAAATGCAAAAAGTTTTTGACAGAGCATGAGTTTAGTTCTATCTAGATTATAGGCAGATTGAATGTACTTTTTTTGCCCTAAATTCAGTTGAATGTACTTGAATTCATCTGAATAACCTTTTGGCCATTTTTAAGACATTACGATGGCAATTTTGACAGTCAAATAATAGTTATTCATAGACTAATATTAACTATTTAAGAAAAATTTAAATCCGTACATGCAGATAGCACTGACAAGAGGGTTTGGAAACCAGTAATGCTGAACCTTAATCTAGTTTCCAACTTATACAATTTCACTTTAGTGGGAAGTAATGGTGGCCTGTGTAAGGAAATGCCTGGACCCTTGAACCAAAAGGGGTAGAAAGAAGGACATTAACATGCTGGAGTGCTCAATTTGTGATGTGTGTGGACCTCAAAAACATTTTAAATAGACTCAGTCCAGTGTGGCAAAGTCAAAACTACCTAGTGCCTTCAAGGAGAGAGGAAGTTGAAATGGTATGCTAGCATATGAATCTGGAAAGAAAAATCAGTGTGTTGTAAGTGTTATTTAAGGTAATAATGTGATGAAGTCCTAAAAGGTCTTTATGGATGTGGTGGTTACGTGAAGGTGGATACAGTTTGGACGATGTCAGCATCCATTGTGTATTTTGGTAATTGAAGGGCAATGATGAATAGAACAACAGCGTGATTAGGGAGGGAGAAAATTTCAGCTTAATCTGCCATGTTCAGTGGTTACATGAAAGATGAAGTGCTGCAAAAAGCAAAACCAAGGGATAAGTCAGGTTGAAACCCATCGAAAAGAAAAAGATTGAAATGGGCATATTTGCAAAGACAAAATACAAGATTCTTGTTGAATCATACAAGTAGGGTAACATCAGAACAGATTGATTCATATTTAGATGCAGGATAACTTAGACTTTGAGTAATGTTGTCTCCTATCTCTTCTACCAGAACCTGTTCTATGGGTATTATAAATTATGAAAAGCAAAAGCATCAGACTTATATTTTAGATATTGACAATCTAGAAATTTAGTTATTACAGTGACTATGGACAAATGAAAGCTTCTACTAATTTGAAAATTCAATTAGTATGGGAAAAGGAAACAGAGAAATGAATCCTTCAATAGCTCAGGAAAAGAAATTGGTACTGGTATATGCAATAAGCTTTTGCTTTAGCTTTAGTTGCCCTTGTACTCCACTGGCTGGTACCATGCTTTTTTGTTTTATTATTATTTTTTCAACTGAATACTTGGTGGTCATCTGAACCCTTCTCTTTTCTCCTGGAATTTGCAGTTTTTAGGAAATTTGAAGAACCTTCGAGATTCGCATGCTGCAGTTGCTGTTGGATCATCTGAATCAGTTGGTGGTGAGCCATCTTCAGTCACGAGAATAATCTCCGAGTGTGAAACATCATTGACTCTCTTGAACCGTGATCTTGGTATTCTATCGGCTTCAATTGCTCGGGAGAAAGGCCAGGATATAATGCTGTGAGATTTGTAGTATTTACACAAGAAGAGGAGGTTCTCCGTCGCGATTGAAGTTTGAATGATAGAAACCATACTTCTTGGGGACTGAGCACTAATGTCATGTTTAGGCCAATATAGGGCATTGGCCTGTTGTATTACATTGTGAGTTGAATGTTATTAACTGTGCATGATGACCTGAGAGCACCTTGAATTGTACCAGTTCAAAATATTGATGAGTGATGGATCTTCATACCTAGAGTGATTTAAAGTTGAGGTCCTTCATGGTCATTGTCCGCCCTTGTAATCAAATTTTGAAGCTTCCTATTCATCATTTTGCTTATTTAGATGGTTACAATTTTCCCATATGAATCAATTGAATTGGTTAAATGCTAGTCTTCAGAGACAATAGTTTGCAGATTGCAGACTATCAAGTACTATCAAATAGGACTGAGAAGTAGAGGAAAACCAACTTCTTACTTTTATTTTGTTGAAGGAAGTGGAAAACCAACTTTTAACACTTGAGTCATATGCTGCAGATCTTTATTATAGCATCAGAATAGGAACAAGAATGACCTTACCTCACATGTATATTTACCAAAAGAACTATTCCATCCCATTGAAGTATATGATGTATACGTGGCAAATTCAGGTGTAGTAAAAGAGATCATCAGCTATATTTGTGGGATCAGGATCTTGTTTACCACTTTCAGGATCCTCATTAGAAACCTGTCCTTGATCATTCTTTCCCTCATCACTATCACTGAAGGCCCTCTTCGCCATGCATCCTCACAAGGCCCCTGGGCCGGATGGTAGGTTCCCTTTATTTTTTCAAAAATTTTGGAATATAGTTAAAAGAGAGGTGATTGATTTGGTTAGACAGTTTTTCAAGGGAAATTTCTTGCCTAAAGCTACAAATGAAACTCTGGTCACCTTGATTCCAAAAAATGATGCCCCCATTAATGTCAATCAGTTCAGACCCATTAGTTTATGTAATGTGGTCTACAAAATCATTGCAAAAATTCTCATCAATAGGATGAAACCGCTCCTTCCAAATTGCATCAATCCCGCCCAATCTGTTTTTATCCCTAGTAGGCAAATCGTTGATAATATCATTCTAGCTCATGAAAGCATTCATCACCTCAATAACAAGAGACGAGGTAAAAATGGCTATATGGCCATGAAATTAGACATGTCAAAAGCCTATGATAGAGTGAAGTGGAACTTTATTGCTGCGGTGATGGCTAAAATGGGCTTCTGCCCTATTTGGATTAAATGGATTATCACTTGCTTAAATTCAGTTTCATTTTCTTTCAATATCAATGGTGACAAAAAAGGCTATGTAGTTCCTTCTAGGGGCATTAGACAAGGGACCCCTTATCCCCTTACCTTTTCATTATCTGTGCTGAAGGCCTCTCTAGTCTCTTTAACCAAGCCTTGGAAAACAAAAGAATCTCTGGTCTGAAGCTGGCTAGGAACGCTCCAAGTCTGTCCCACCTTTTGTTTGCTGACGATTCCTTGATTTTTTGTAAAGCAAATGTAGGTGAGATAAAGGAAATAAAGAGAATCCTGAAAGTCTATGAAACCACATCAGGACAACAAATCAACTTGGAGAAATCAACGGCCCTTTTCAGCAAGAACACAAACAGACAGGTGTCGGAAGACATAATGAGGGAGCTGGAGGGAATCAAAGTAGTTGCTCAGGGTAAATACTTGGGACTTCCCCTTGTTATAGGACGGTCAAAAAATCAGATTATGAGTTTCATCCGGGAAAGTGTCAAAAAGAAAATTCAAGGTTGGGAAGGAAGATTGCTGAACCAAGCAGGAAAAGAAGTCCTCCTGAAGTCAGTAGCAATGGCCATGCCAGCTTATACTATGTCAGTTTTCAAATTGCCAAAGGGATTATGCAAGGAGTTAAGTTCCATCATGGCAAACTACTGGTGGGGTAGCGAAGGCAACAAGAGGAAAATCCATTGGATGAGCTGGTCCCATTTGACAAATATCAAAGAAAGAGGAGGATTGGGTTTTAGGGACCTCGAGGATTTCAACATGGCCTTACTAGCAAAGCAAGTTTGGAAGTTCATTGCAAAACCAAACTTGCTTGTTAGTAAGATCATGAAAGCTAAATATTTTCCAAATTCTTCTATTTTACAGGTTACAAAGGCAGCAGGGGATTCATGGATTTGGCAAAGTATACACAGCTCTATAGGCCTTATAGAAGAGGGAAGTAGGCAGAATGTGGGAAATGGGGAAACAATCAACATCTGGGAGGATAGATGGGTTTCAAACTTGACAGGAGGTAAAATTCAATCAGCCAAACCTACCAACTGTGAAATCATCAAGGTGAAGCAGCTGATCAAGGGACAACAGTGGGATCCAAGTATCATAAATAGGCTATTTTTTGAAGAAGAGAGTGTAGCTATTCAAAGCATCCCTTTAAGCCTCTATGATGGCCGAGACAGAATAAGATGGAATCTCACAAGGTCGGGGATCTACTCAGTCAAGACAGGCTACTCTCTTTTAAAGGAAATGGCAAAGAACCATAGACCAAGCAAGTTGGATCAGGGTGGACAAAGCACAGAGCCAAGTAAAGAAATGATCTGGAAAAGACTTTGGGGACTCAACTTGAAGCATAAGATTAAGCACTTCATCTGGAAATGCCTCAATCAGACCCTTCCAACAAATGAAGCAATTGCCACACGGATAGGGAAAGGATGCAACGTTTGCCGAAAATGTGGAGAAGAAGTAGAAACAATTGAGCACTTATTCTTTTTTTGCAGGAATGTCCAGGATAGCTGGAAGCTATTCCCAATTCAGTGGGATGGATGCCTCGAGCACCAGTGGAACTTCGGAAGATGGTGGGGCAAATTACAAGAGGCTGCTCACAGGAACCAGGGATCAGGTCATATTGCCCTGACAGCAAACTTCCTGTGGCACTTATGGAAGAGCAGGAACAAAGTCTGTTTCAATTCAAAGGTTCAAGAAAGCCACCTGATAGTCACCAGAGCTCAACAAGAATGGCTTGAATATGAAGAAATAGGGAAAGAAGAAAGGACTCAAATCTTGGATTCAAGCCCCACAAGTTTGACCAGGCTACCCACGGTGGAAGTCCCGGGAGCAATGTGTGTGGCTGCCTGTGGAGCTGTAGATAGAACAAGGAAAAAGGCAGGAATAGGAATAGTAGTCAGAGATAACAGGAGGAAGCTAACAGCAACAAAGGCGATCCCTTTAACTTTCAGCGGAGATAGGATCTTAACAGAAGCTCTAGCAATTCGTACAGGATTGTTATTTGCAATGGAACAACAGTGGGCTTCTTTAGAGATCCAATCTGAATGTAAAGCCTTGATAGTTAGACTAAATGAAGAAGCTGAAGATGAATCCCAGCTTGCAGTCATCATCAGAGATATAAAGCAACTCAAAGCATCCTTTTGGAAGTGTAATTTCTACTTAGTTAGTCAGCATGAAGATACAGTTAGTTTTAAGCTTGCAAAATTTGCAACCAAACTGATACATGATGTTAAGTGGGAAAGATCTTTCCCCCTGTGGCTCAAACGAGCATCACAGTCCTGATGGAGCAGTTGCTCCCTTTTGTACAATGCTGTATAGGCACAAAATTAATTATTACTAAAGCTAGTGACATTTTGACAAAAAAAAAACTATCACTGATTTCAGAAATCAACGGCTTAGATTGCACTACCTCCTTAGAAAGATGGAAGTCATCAACATTGTGTGAGGGTTAAGATTTACCATTCTCATCCGGTGCTTGCCTTTGCCTTTGCTTTTAAAAAAAAAATATTTTTTTTGCTTATCTTGTCGCGCTTCGTCAATACGGCAGGTATAGTTTAGTTCACAAACTTTGTCAGAGCAATAATTGGCCGGCTTTTTTTCTTCTAGCTATAATCTAAGGAATTAACCCTGCATTTTAGCACTAGGCTACTAGCATTGTTTTCATATATTTAGTACATTTTATTTTTTTCTCTACCACTAGTCTAATTTGTAATTCTTGGATCCTTCCTTCTCAACTTGAAATATTGCCTCCAAATGTAGCCTTTAGTATGTTTCCAAAGATTTCATTGCCAGCCAAGTGCTTTTGATCTACCTATTTTTTCTTTTGATAAGGTTGAATGAACATATTGATGTGAACTAAAATTAAAATGATATGTGCAACCACCCTTTCAAATAAAGTCCCCAAATAGCTTATAATTGCAACCAATTGTTTAACTGTGTTTTGGACAAACATGTGGGCTGGTTGGCTGCCATCTCTTCTAGCATGAACAAAACAAGTAGTATTTACAGTATGGGAACTCTTGGCAAAATCCTTAGCAAGATGAATCAGATGACCAAATGCCTAACCTCTATGATAACACTCCAAAAAAAAAAGGAAGTGTGTACCAAAAATCCTGAACACCGAGTCCCCAACCCGCTCTTTTTACTCCTTCCAAATAAATTAAATATAGTACAGTACCATTTAAATCTATCCTTATTTTATCCTTACATTTTGGATATATCCACCCTAAAAAGTGAACATTTTCTCAATTTTTTAAAATCTTAAAACTTTGCGTTGTGTTTGTAATTTTGAAATCACATCGTAGTTTTCATCCAACGATTGTTGCATGTAGAAATTTCTTCGCAAAGATTTTGTGATTAATTGATAGTTGTAACTTGTCCCCTTAACTCAGGAATCATGGTTAAAATTTTTGTTTGGAAAGCCATTTTTCACCAACAATTTTCTACGTTTTCCGTGAACATATTTTTCAATCACTTTTTTACATTTTTTTGGGTCATTTTTCACTTATCTACTCCTACTCTAATCTAATCTAGGAGGGAGGCGTAGATGGGCCTACAGGAGAATTGACTGGGATTGAATCACCATCGGACTAGACGGGTGTATTACATATTCGTATGAATTTGAGCAAACTATATATTGTGGCAAGTGAAGGGATGCAAGATTACCAACAGGGGTTGGTCCGAGTGGTAAGCGGTTCGGATTCGCTTAAGCAGGTCTCGTGTTCGAGTCCTAGTGTACGCAGACACCCCTGTTGGGAGACTCACCCACCATAGCCAGGTGCGCGACGCGGGTCGGGTCCGGATTAGTCGGGGCAAAGCTTCGAATACCGGGCGGGCAATCAAAAAAAAGAAGGGATGCAAGATTTGAATCCTTGATTTCTCACTCCATCAAGATTTAAAGTCTTTCATGGTGGCCAAAGATTCAATCACTTTTTTATCTCATATATATAAAATCGTTATAGTACATTTTCTATAAAAACTTCAAAAAAATTGCAATCCAAGCAGGACAGGTCCAAAAACACTAGCAGAAGCTGCTTTAGATTGTAATTTTAAGTAGAAAAATTTTTATATTTTTTGCAAA